GCTCACTGGTTATACAGCTTGGGCAGTGGCCTTCTCAGAAGATGGTGTGATTATAGTCTCCATCGCATGAGTTTGTGGTGAGGGTTCACTTAGAAAATGTATGGCTTGGTTCAGTGTCTGTATTAAGTGCTCATTAAATGTTACTTTTTTTTTTTTAATTGCCAGTGGACATATGTGCTCATCAGAGAGAAGCACCACCCCCTAATCGGGCATGGTCATGCTGCAGTTCTTTTCCCTTCATTTCTTTATCCCATCAGGATTGTGACCATGCATTCATTCATGCTGGCATGTTTTTCAAGCGCTGGGGCCAGAATTCGAACCATTGTTAGCCACGTAGGATCCAGCTACTCATTCACAATGCTTAATGGCTGCACTACAGGGCTGGCCCTATCTTTTTATTTTTAGACAGGATCTTGCTATGTTACAGTAGTCCTGCCTTAGTGTCCCAAGTCGCTGGGACTATGAGTCATGTATTCACACCCAGATCTTGCAGATAGGGTCTTGCTGCATCACTCAGACTGGTGGTGAACTCATGATTCTCCTGACTCAACCTTCCCAGTCTGGGTCACAGGTATGCATCACCGCACCTTGTTTTATTTATTTATTTATTTTAAAGATTTATTTACTTATTAAATTTTATTTATTCATTCATTTATTTTAATTTGACCAGAAAGCGACACAGAGAGAGAGAGAAAGTGAGAAATCAAGCTGCCAGGTCCAGGACTCGAACCATGGTCGGCCATGTGGGAGTGTCCAGCGCCTTAACCACCACCACCTGCTGGTCCCCACTGCATCTTGTTTTTTACAATAGAATGAGCAGAGAATCAAACGTGGCCTCCCATGTGGCCCTAGCCTGTGGAACAGCAGCACCTGTCAGCTTCTGTAACTGAGGCTTAGTTATAATCGTTATACTTTTTTTTTCAATCCTGTGTGATTTTCAAACAGTGGAAAAATCTAATATTCAGTACTCTGTGGTATTTAGTGAAATGGATATTTTTCTGTAATACCGATGGAAGTCTACATGGGTTTATCCCTTTTGCGAAAGTATTGAGCATTTTAAATTAAATTAATTAAGATTTTTGCTATAGGGCACTTGTGCTTGCCAGAGAATCAGAAAGTGAGAAATCATCCTGTGGGGAGATGGCTATGCTGAGATCCCTTTTCATCTATTCTCCTCTCAAGATTTTGGGGCACATACACCAGGTGTGAGTTTCAAGCCATCCAAGTCTCCAGCTGCAGTCAACCATGTGGGAGTTCAGTGATATAATCATTACACCATCTGCTGGTCCTGAATTAAACACTTTTTTAAAAAATTTAAATTTGGGAATCAGCAGTTAGCGTAATGGCTATGTCGCTGGACTCCCACGTAGTCAACCGCGGTTCACGTCCTGGACCCAGTGGCTTAAAACTCAGGCCGGGTGCGTGTGTGTGTGTGCCCAAGATCCCAAGAGGAGAATGGAGGAGAAGGGATTGTGGCGTGACCATCCGCCCTGGGGGGTGATTTTTCGCTTTCTGTCTCTCTGTCTCTCTTGGTCTGGCTGGTGAGCGCACGTGCCCTATAGCGAAAACCTCTCAAAAAAATTTAAATTTATTTATTTGCATTCATTCACTGTACATCCTTACAGCAAACAAAATGAGATTTCCCATTCAGAATGCACTGTATATTGGCTCAGTCAATATACAGTCAAGCAAATCAACGTATGTGTTAATCGTCAACAAATAATTTTCCATTTGTTTCCTGTACATTTTGCTATTTTTGCCATCCTTGATTCCCTATCTCTCACCCTCTGCCGTGTCTCACCCTCCTCTCACACTGTCTTTGGTATCCATGGTTGTTTTCTATGTCTTTTCCCCCACATTTTATTTATTCGCTAATGCACTTAATTAATCTAAATACTTCCAATAGCAAGTACAGTAGATATATACCTATTCATGAACACAAGTCTGACTTTAGGCAAAAACCTCAGTGAGTAGAATGAACATACTAAAAAGTAGCACCTAGCTGTGACTATATAGCTTACTGCAGTCATCAAATACGCATTTTTTTTAAATTTTAGGAAAAATAGTTTTTGTGTTTCTTTTTCTCCTGAGAATTTTTTTAAAAATTAGTTTACATTTATCCCCTAATCATCATCATGGCATATAAAAAGTGGTTTCCCATCCAGAATATACTGCATAGTGGCTTTATCATGTACGTTAACATCAATAATTTTTCATTTCTAGTTTCAAATATATATGTGTGTGTGTATTAATTTATTTATATATATGGGGGGAGAGGTTTTTGCTACAGGGCGCATGTGCTCGCCAGAGAGACAGAAAGTGAGAAATCACCCCCCGGGGGGATGGCCATGTCGCAATACCCTCTTCTCCATTCTTCTCTCGGGATCTTGGGCATGCACGCACACACACCCGGCATGAGTTTAAGCCATCGGGTCCAGGACTTGAACTATGGTCGACTATATGGGAGTTCAGCAACATAGCTATTACACTAACTGTTGGTCCCAGTAATCTTACTACTTTCAATAGCAAGTTCAGCTGGTAATTTCAAGAAAAGCAGTTTTGAATTGGTAAGGAAATTTACTTAAAGCCTGGAAACAGGTTAGTATTCTATTCAAATAGAAGGTACATGAACCTATTGACAGCTCAAGACAGGACAAAAACTCTTAAAACCGGACAACAAAGTCTAGAAGAAAAGCAGCAATATTTTAGTCAAAAGTCACAGAATGCTTTCACCAGCTCAGTCTCATGTACTTAATCTATCTTCTGTTGTGGTTTGATTTTCCCAATTGAATTCTGGGATATAATATCCAACTCCAAACTTGTCCCTATGGTTAAGTTGGCCATTAGTTTTTGAACTCTTATTTCTGTGTGACTACATTTAATTTTTCTGACATAGCATTCCTTTGAGAACTTCTTAGAGATCTGGTCTGGTGCTGATAAATTCTTTCAGGTTTTATCTGAGAATGTTCTTGTCTTTTCTTCCCACATGAAGGATAATCTTGCCAGATACAGTATTCTTGGTTGAAATTCCTTTTCCCTTAACACTTTTTTCCCATTCCTTCCTTGCTCGTGTTGTTTTCGATGAGAAGTCTGCTATTAGTCTGATGGGATGTTATTTGTAGGTAACTTGCTGTTTCTCTCCTGCCAATCTTAGTGTCTTGTCTTTGTCTGTGGTTTTGGTCAGCCTGGCTATAATGTGTCTTGGATAAGATCTTCTTGGGTTGATTCTATTTGGTGGCCTTTGTATTTCTTGGGACTGGATCTTTGAGTGCCTCTCTAGATTTGGAAAGTTTTCTTGCAGGATTTCATGGAATAGATTATCAATGCCCTATGAGTCTCTTCGCCTTCTGGGATGCCTATTATCTGGATGTTTGGACGTTTGATGGTATCTTGTACTTTTCATATATTTTTCTCAAATTTTGGGGCAATTTTCTCAGTCTTCGTGGTGGATTTTTCTAGGTCAGCAATTTTTTCTTCTATGTCTGAGATTCTGTTTTCTGTATGTTCTTGTCTGCTTTTAAAACTTTCAAGAGAGATTTTGACTTCTTGTAGTATAGCCTTAATCTCTAACAGTTCCACTTGATTCTTTTGTAAAGTGTGTAATTCCTCTTTCAGATCTTGCAAGAATTTCCTCACCTCCTGGAACTCATCAACTCCTTTCTCCTTTCTCTTCTGCAGTTCATTGTCTCTCTTCTCTTCCATCTCTGTTAGCTTTGCCATTACGAACATTCTATATTCTTTATCAGACATTTCCATGATTTTCATTGAACAGTCTGTGGATGAAGAGGAGTTATTCTTTTCCCTTGGAGGAGAGGTATTTTCTTGTTTTCCCGTATTTCTTGTGATCCTGCAGTCATTTCTACTCATCTGATGGATGGTGTGTTTCTTCCCAAACTTGAAGTTCAATCTGAGTGCCCAGGAGGGTGCAGAAAAAGAAACAGAGAGAGAGAAACAACAACAACAAAAACAACCAAGAAACAGAGAAAAAGAGAAAAAAAAACCTAAAAAAAAATAACTAAAAAGATTTTTTTTAAAAAAAGCAAAAATTACAAAAAAAAAGAACACAGAGAAAGAGGTAGAGAGAAGCAGAGGCAGAGGCGGAGAGAAGGCTTGAGGGAGCTCCTACAACTGGAGTTTGTGAGCTGGAGGCTGAATTATCAGTAGAAAATGTTCATTTTTTAATTTCCTGAAATCACTAGTTCTCATGAAGGTGTCTTTTCAAGTACTTTTTTTTTTTTTTTTAAGAGAGATTTTTGCTATAGGGTGCATGTGCTCACCAGAGACAGAAAGCGAGAAATCACTCCCAGGGAGCATGGCCATGCTGCGATCTCTTCCCCAATCTCTGGGGATTTTGAGCATATATGTATGTATATGTGTATACACACACACACACACACACACACACGTGCCTGGTGTGAGTTTTAGGTCAACAGTTCCAGGACTTGAACCACAGTTGAACCGCTATATGGGAATCCAATGACATAACCATTATGCCATCTGCTGGTCTCCCAAATTGAGCACTTTTAAGAACTTTAAAAACATAGTCCTGTTTGAAGGACTACTCAGAAACACATGCAAATATATTCATTTGTGGTAATTTTTCTAGAGAAAACAGTTGCAAGCCATCTTTCAACAGTGAAAGAAAAATTAACATATTCATACCGTGGGATTACATTGCTGTCACTTGGGATTGATTTGGAAGGTGAAGAATTTTTAAAGAACTGGGGAAATAAAAAATTTTTAAAAAACTAGAAGGGCATGTATCAATAATACATTGGTAACAATTACTAATGATAATTATCCTAGTAGTTTCAGGTTAGGAGTTCTTTTTTTTTATATTCATGCTTTAAAAAATAAACTCACCTTTCTTTAAAAGTATTTTAGAATCAGGACAAAACAACATTTATTTTTTCAAAGAAACAGCCGAAAAGAACTAGAACATCTGCCACAGGGGGGCATCCAGGAGCCCTGACTCATCTCTGACTTGCTTTCTCGTCCAGTGGTATCAGCAAAGCCCAAGGTGCATAATCGTCAACCTCGGATTAACTCCTATGTGGAGGTGGCAGTGGATGGACTCCCCAGCGAGACCAAAAAGACTGGAAAGCGCATTGGGAGCTCTGAGCTTCTCTGGAACGAGATCATCATTTTGTAAGAGAAAGTGCTTTCTTTCTGAACGCAGTAAGATGGGGGCTTGAGTGAAGGTGCCCAAGGGGGGATGTGGAGGTCACAGGTGTTCTGTGCAGCCCTAGCTGCTTCTGCCTGTGGTTCCCCAGCTGCCTTTCTTTAGGGATTTCTACCTCATTGAGCTCATAGAGTGTTCATTGTTAGCTAGAGGGTTATAGGGTCAGCCTTGTTGGGGGGGGCGGGGAGGGTATGTATGAGTGCTTTCCTGTTTTGGTCCCTCCCCCCACAAGATGTCAGCAGTATAGGTTAACTGTTTTCTTCTAAGTTATAGGAGTGACCAGTCTACCTAGATGAAATGAATCAAGGGTTTGTTTTCTAGGAATGTCACGGCCCAGAGTCACTTGGACTTGAAGGTCTGGAGCTGCCATACCTTGAGAAATGAACTGCTTGGCACTGCCTCTGTCAACCTCTCCAACGTCCTGAAGAACAATGGCGGCAAAAGTATGTATGCGTGGGGGCCAACGTGATTCATCTGAATGGTGGGGAGGACATGCAGACATACCTGGTGATACAGTGTCTTCACCATCCCTCCCCCGCCCCGGGTGCCATTGGGGAGTTTTAGGAAGGTTGAGAGTTCTTCTCTGCACCCCCTGCAGAGTTCAGCCCCTTTGCCAGGAGCTGGAGAGGTGGGATGCAGTGCCCTGTCCTCTGATCCTTCCTCAGGCAGGGAACTTTCCATCTGCCGTGCTCCTCTTCCTGATGCAGGAGAGGTGTGATACGTTATTTTCAACTGTCAGATGCCTACAGCCTAAATCATTGCTTTTACAATCTGAGCCCCGGAACGGAACAATGGAGCTGTGTGTAGATGTGTGCGTGTGCACATGCACGGGTATGTCTGCTTGCGACTGTGTTATAAGTAGTACCCTGCGCTTAGTAGGCACTTGGTAAACACTTACTGGGGATTGGAATGTGATGGAAGCTCCACCTTAATTCTCCAGGGTGCCTCTGCTGCACGGACATATAAATCCTCACGTCTGTTTATTGCTGTTTGTGGTCAGTGGCATAACTCGTGGCTGTGGTATTTGGACCCTCCCTCATAAAGCCTCTATTCAGAGCAGTACCACATATGGTGAATGCCTGCTACAGAAAGAAAGGCTCCTTTTTCTCTTGATGTCTGCTGTCTAGAAAATATTTTCTGAAAGTAGCTTTAACTTAAGAGAGATTGGGGAGGTGTTGAGTGTCGAGTCCCAGGGAGAGCATTGCACTGATCAAGAGTCTTGCTTCTGGAGCCTGTCCTTTCCGATGGGCTACTTGAGAGATGTCTGAGCCTCCACTGGTCTGTTCCTTTCTGCTGGGCACGTAGAGAAAGGAGAATCCAGTCTGACCTGAGGAATCTTTGAAAATCAGAGATATATCTGTTTTAATTCTGGAGAGAACTCTCTGATGCTTTGTCTTGGGAGTGATTTTTTTTAAAAAGTTTATTTCTTAAGAGAGGCACACATAGAGAGATAAGGAGACAGATAGGCACCCCCAACAAAGGTCTCATGCTGAGAAATCCATTCTCAGCCTCAGCTGGCCCAGATCACCAGCATGTGTTTGTGCTCTTTGTGCTCGGGGAGGTCCCAAGATGGGATCCTATGATCTTTCCCAGGTAGATCTGCCTGCATTACCACTGCACTGCTCCCTGGCCTCCAGAGTCAGTCTTTATTTTCTCAAACCCTGACTTGTCTTCTGTAATTCAGTTATCAAGGAGCAGTAGCCATTATGCATGTCCCTGTCTTTCCTTCTTTGTTTGTCAGCATACTTTTGCTTTTGATGACAGAAGTACTTCTAGAAATCAGAAATTACAGAAAAATACATAGAATTTATAAAGAAAATAAAATTTGCCCATATGCATAGCATTTAGTGGTAATTACTGTTAATTTTTTTTTCTTTAGAGAGAGATTTTTTGCTACAGGGCATGTGCACTTGCCTGAGAGAGACAGAAAGTGAGGCGCCCTACCCCAACCCCGGGAGGATGGCCACGTTGCAGTCTTTCTTCTCCCTTCTCCTCTTATTTTAGACACACATGCACGTGTGCCTGGCATGATTTTCAAGCTGTCAGATCAGAGACTCAGACTGCGGTTGGCCATGTGGGAGTCTAGCACCTTAACCACTATGCCACCTCTCTGGCCTCACTGTTAACATTTTGCTATGTACACTTTTGAGCATTTCTTCTATATATAAATATATGGAGATCATACACAAAATTATTTTACAACTCACATTTTTCTTTAAAATGTATTAATATGTCTTAATTTTGCTATAAAATATACATAACATGTTATCATCATAACCATTTTTTTTGGAGAGGTTTTGAGACAGAGAAACAGAAAGCGAGAAATCACCCCCCGGGTGGGATGGCCACGCCGCAATCCCTTCTCCTCCATTCTCCTCCCAGGATCTTGGGCATGCATGCACATGCGCCCGGTGTGAGTTTTAAGCCACCAGGTCTGGGATGCAAACCGCAGTCGACTACGTGGGAGTCCAGGGACATAGCCATTACGCTAACTGCTGGTCCCTCATCATAACCATTTTAAAGTGTATGGTTCAATGATATTAAGTATATTCACCTTGTTGTGCATCCCTTACCATCAACTCTTCCAGAATGTTTTTCATTTTGCAAAACTGAAACCTGTACCCATAAAGCAACACTCTAGCCCTCTCTACCCTCCAACCTTTGCCAATCACCATTCTACTGTCTGTCTCTATGAATGTGGCCACCCTACTACTCTAGGAATTACTACTCCAGGGGGGATGGCCATGCCACAATCCCTTCTCCATCCTTTTTTAGGGATTTGGGGCATGTATGCACATGTGCCCAGCATGAGTTTCAAGCCGTTGGGTCCAGGACCAGAGCCATTGTCAGCCACGTAGGAATCCAGCACCCTAACCATTATGCCATGTGCTGGCCTCTAAAATTCAGTTTTTTTTGTTTGTTTGTTTTGTTTTTTTTTTTGAGAGATTTTCACTGTAGAGCGCGTGCGCTCGCCAGACGGACAGAGAGAGACATAGAGACAGAAAGCGAGAAATCACCCCCCAGGGGGGATGGTTACGCCGCAATCCCTTCTCCTCCATTCTCCTCTCGGGATCTTGGGCACGCATGCACACACGCCTGGCATGAGTTTTAAGCCACCGGGTCCGGGACACGAACCGCGGTCGACTACATGGGAGTCCAGTGACATAGCCATTACGCTAACTACTGGTTCCCTAAAATTCAGTTTTTGATGACTGCCTACTAATAGTCTATCCTATAACTGTAAAATTTAAGGCTGAACATTTGGCTAGTTTTCAGTATTTTGCAGTCAGAAATAATGCTATGATAAACTTGCAAGTTGATAAACGTTTGTATCTCTTTATAGAACATGGGGGAGAGGAGCACCCTTCACAAGATCTGGTCATAACACAATCCTTTTCCTCTAGTTCTCTAGCACCATTAGATCTTGGTACTTGGTTGGTTCGGGTTCACTGGGCCAGGAATATAAACCATGGCCACCATGTGGTTGGCTTCTCTGGAGAGTGCATTACTACTGCACCTGCAGAGCCAGCCCAGATCTCCTTTATTAAAATTATTTAATTAAACTTTATTTATCTATTTAATTTTTAAAAATTTGTCCAGAGAGGAACAGAGAGAGAGAGAGAGAGAGAGAGAGAGAGAGAGAGAGAAATGAGAGAGCAAGTTGCTAGGTCTGGGACTTGAACCGATGTTGGCCCTGTGAGATTCCCATCGCCCTTAACCACCATGCCACCTGCTGGCCCTCCTAGCCCAGATCTTTCATTGTTGAAAATTTACTAAGCTTAAATTATTGAATCTTACCAGGTTTAAACATGTTTCAAGGTTTCTGACATGTGTTGCCAGATTAACCTCTAGAAAGTTCTACCAGTTTAGTCTCCCATCAGCAGTGGCTAAAATTGCTGGTTTCTACTGCGCCTTATATATTATTTATAAAAAACATTTTTTGGGCTTATTTGATAATTACTACCAGTATGCCATATTTGCTTCATCTCTTTTTATCTGACTGAAATATTTTGAAGCCAATTATAGGTGTTGTGACGTCTTTATGATATTTTATCAAGATTCTACAGCATGCATTTTGTAGAAAAAATTCCTTACATAATTACCAAATTGCTATCACAGTTAACAATATTGCTGCTAATTCCTTATTGTAATTTCCAGTATATGAATCATTGTTGTATTTGTGATCTAAGTGTTATTTTACAGGTGGTTTGCTTGAACCTGGGTTTGGCAAATGGTCATTGCGTTTGGTTGTTATGTCCCTTAAGGCCCCCACTTCCACCTCACTTTTTTTGTGCCATGATTTATTGAAGGGTATTGAATATTTTAAAAATGTGTTTATTGCCCTATTAATGTCCGTTGCTCATTTTTATATTGGAGTGTGTATTTTTCTTTTGGTTTTGAAAGAGCTCTTTATATCTTAAGTTTTTATTCTTTGTTTTATAATTTGTAAATATTTTTCCAGTTTTTCATATACATTTTAAAAAATTGCTATAGGGTCCTTGTGCTCGCCAGAGAGAGACAGAGAGAGAGAGGGAGAGAGGGAAGACATGCATGTGTGCCTGGCGTGTTTTCAATGCACCAGGTCTGGGACTCAAACTGGTTGGCCATGTGGGAGTCCAGTGCCCGAATCACTATACCACCTGCTGATTTCCTCCAAATACTTTTTTTTTTTCTTCTTTTTTCTTTTTTTTGGAGAGGTTTTTGCTATAGGGCACGTGCACTCGCCAGACAGACAGAGACAGACAGAGAGAAAGCGAGAAATCACCCCCCAGGGGGGATGGCCACGCTGCAATCCCTTCTCCTCCATTCTCCTCTCGGGATCTTGGGCACGCACGGACACGGGCCCGGCGTGAGTTTAAGCCACCGGGTCCAGGACGTGAACCGCGGTCGACTACGTGGGAATCCAGCGACATAGCCATTACGCCAACTGCTGGTCCTCCTCCAAATACTTTTTAAACATTTGTAGTTCGGTCTGTTACCCTACATACAAGAGATTTTCAAAAATTCATGAAAAATGTGTATTATGAAAAAACTATGTGTATATTTCACAATTCACACCAAAATAAACTCTCCCTTTTTTAAAAAGAATTATTTTATTTAACTTTATTTATTTATTTTAATTTGATGGGGGGAGGAGGAGACACACACACACACACACACACACACACACACACACAGAAGACAAAAAAAGCCTTCAGGTCAGGGACTCAAACCTCATTCGGCCATGTGAGAGTCCAGTACCCTTAACCACCATGCCACCTGCTGTCCCTAATAAACTCTCACCTTAATTCCACTATCCCATGAATTTTTTCCTATGTATTTTCAGCCTTTTCTCTCATGCTTTGAAAAGCATTATCTGTTTTGAGATCAAGGTCAATAGCTGCCTCTGTTTTTCCCTTGTTTTTTTTTTTTTTTTCTTCACATTTTAGTCTTTATCCAGTTA